TTGGGAAATTTACTTAAATTAAATTCACTGTTTTAAAAAAGTGAGGCCATGACAAGCCAAGTCAGGAAATTAAAATTTAAGGCTGTCATTCTGTGGTTACAAAAAAGAGGAAAGTGAGTGAGTAAAAAGCATATGAACATATCTTTTACACTTGAGTTTTAAATAAGAATAAAAGGAAATTATAATTTAAGAGAAAAATACAGAAGTTCAGGAGGTTATAACTTGTAAAATGTCTACCTTAAGAAATATTTATTAGCATAATGTATTTATTTCAACATGTACAACAAATTGAAAGCATATTGAGGAAAATAGGCAGAGTTTTCTCCTTGTCTTTTCTCTGCATGTCTGCCTCAGTATCTCTCAGGGTAATTTCTGAATGGTAGAATCCAGTGGTATTTCACAGTGAATTTGTCTTTCCTACTCAAATAGCAAGCTTTCTAAGCTGAATATTTTTGCTACTACCTCACATTTGTGAGCATTTTAGAAGATTCTAGATTCCATCTCTACCTTACACAATTTGAGGGAAAGGCTGAGTACTGGCAATGGCACAATGTGAAAATCTCAAATATAATGAACCATGCAAGAAAAAGAAATATCAAAATGTCTCAGAACATTTTACTTTAAGGATACTGTTTGATTTTTGTTTTTCTTCAATGCTGGGAATCAAACCTAAGATCTCAAGCATATTAGGCAAGTGCTTTACCACTAAGATACATCCCCAGCCACTATGTTTGCTTTTATAGTTTAAAATTAAAGCATCTTTAAAAACAGAGAAATACAATTAGGATTGTGCAGCTACCACAAATTCTTTGGAAAAAGATTAAGTATCACATAGCCCAGGGTGTCACAAGTGTTTGAAAGAACAACAAGTTAAGAAACAAACATAACAAGATTGTGCATAACAACCTCTATTTAAGCCTCTATTTATTTAAGTTAACTAATTTAATCTACATACAGATTTTAGATCAGGGGATATATGGAAAGTTCTGAGTTATTATTCATTGTGTGTCAATGACAATCCACATAACCATGGGCATACTTAGCACCCTGATTTTGATCTCTGCATACAATTTCCCACTGAAATGACTAAGAGCACCTTGGGGGAAATGGCTGATTCCAAGAAGAGAATGAGGAAATGTGTTTATTAAAGTCACTTAAAATAAATAAAATCGAAAATTCTGTTCTCCAGTGATACAAGTCACATTATAAGTACATATGACTAGTGGCTATCAAACTGGACAGCAGCATATTAGACATTTCCATCACTGCAGAGTTTCTTTTGGAAAGCACTGGGCTAGCAATTAGAAGACATTTAAGAGACCTAAAAACCAAATACAGTGTGTGAAGTTGTTTCAATTTTGATCATACAAGCAAATATCATTTTTTTGATTGATAAGAAAATTGAAATATGCCCTAGGAATTAGAATATAAATTATTGTTAATAATGTGTGATAATAGTATTAGGTTGTTTATAAAGGTTTTCTATATTTAGATATACTCTGCAAGTACATAAGAATAGAATGTTATATTGTCTGAAATTTAAAATACTTCATTAAAGACTTTTGATAAAGGTAAATGTTAATAATTGTTAGGAACACAGCATATCATAACAAAACTCACAGCTTCTTTCATTGCTTTGCTTCCATTTTTTTGGTGGTGCTGGGGATTGAACCCACGGCCTTTCACACATTAGGTAAGTACTCCACTACTGAGCTACATCTCCAGCCAATCTGCATTTCTAATTTTAAAATATCAGATGTAACTTATACAAATTTATAAACATGTGTATTCTTATATATATTAGAAGCAAAACCATAAAGACCTAGTGTATGGGTCTTAAAAAGTTTACTAATTGCTCTATCAAAAACCTTATTGGCATAATTAGGCAAGGATGATTAAAACTCGAATGACTGAGCACAGAATTCCAGTTACTATAGTCTTAAATAAACTGCTCTTGTGCCTAAGCAAAGTTATTTGGAAAATAAGATGTAAAACCTACTGCACTATATAAGTGGCAAATATTTTACATTTTAGAGGTATTCAAATTTTAAAATATTTGGGGAATCATACTTTGTTTCAATTAAAAGTATTGCTATGACAAAAATATCTGGATGGCTTGTTCAAAATTCCAGTTAGTATTTGACATAAGTACGAATTACAAAAGTTATAGACTGTATGAAGTACTCTTAAGTTAATAGCCAGCTCATTTAATGAATGCAAAATGCCTTCAAAAATACCATGTGTGAAAACTGTGCATTATTAGGTCAAATTGGATTATCAGTGGAAATATATGGAATGGCATTATGTTTTAAACAAGCAAATCACAAAAATGCATGAAAACACAAACAGTGGTTTCCCCCTATTCTTGGTTTTGCTTTCTGTAATTTCAGTTACATAGAGTTAACCATGGTCTGAAATTATTAAACAGAAAATCCAGAAAAAAATTCATGATTTTTAAATAACTTTTATTACAGTATAATGTTATACTTCTTCTATTTTATTGTTATTAATCTCTTATTATGCCTAACTTATAAATTATCATCTGTGTGTGAGTATGTGTGTGTGTGTGTAGAAAAATCAGAGTGTATAGGATTTGGCACTATCCATTGTTCAGGCACACCCAGGAGTCTTGGAAACACATACTCCTTGGATAGAGGGAATTATTATATAATATTTTGAATCAAGATTATATGAAATATTGGTAGTAAGTGTTTCAATAGTTAGAATTGCTTGATACAACTTCCAGTGTTTAGCCCAAAAGTTTGAAACATTTTAGAAATCACACATTTCTGTAGTATCAGAAGCTAGGCTCCATGACATAAAACAAATTGAGTTATCTGTTATAGCAGACTATTAAAAATATTTGATCAATGTAAATCAGTAAACCATACAGTATATATAGAAGCACTGACTGTTATGTCTCAATTATTCAGTTGTTGGAAGTGACAAATACTACCTTCACCATGGAATGTACATACAGGACTTAGTTTCAGCATTCAGATATTAGAATGTGTGCAAACAGAACCCACTGTGTACTAGAAAACACAGGTTAACAAAATAGAGCTGCTACTCAATTTTGAGTTTCAAAGATAACCAATATTTCATTAAATAAAATTTAAATGTTAATATATTCCCATACTAAAATTTTTTAAAACTTGAATAACATTAAAAGTCCTGTGGCAAAAAATATCAAACTATTTTCATAAATATTGACATTATTACTCATAATATATATTTTATATAACATATATTTTATATCAGCATCATATTCAATTCTGAATGTTTTTTGCCTAAACAGTGTTTGGATTGGCCAAAAGTTATTAGGATTCTATGTTAGAAAAATAATCAGGGTTTTTCAATTTAGGTAATGATTACTGTTTCCAGATATACTTACATGCTTGCTGTTTGACACACAGAATGCATTTTTCTCTTATCATTTTGTTTTTGTGGTATTGGAAATTCCCAGCTTTTTTTTTTTAGACAGAGTCTCACTAAGTTGCTGAGGCTGCAATCCTCCTGCCTCAGTTTCAGTAGTAGCTGGGAGATTATAGATATATGCCATCATAATCAGCTTAAAATGCATTTTTTCTCTACTACTACAAATACAGGTTGTGTCCCAGGCTAGGTTACAAAATATGCATAAAACTTAACTATTAAGTTCATCTCTTAATCTAACTAAAATACTAATAGCATCAGTCAAATTCTATGCTCTGGATACCAAGGACCAAAGAAAAACAAAGAAAGGGTTTCTCTTGTAGACCCAGGATCAGGTCTAGGTAAAATTTTGAAATGGCTGCCACTTTGCCCAGACAAGCCTCTAATCCCTTTTCAGTGCCCCTCTAACATCCCAATGGTGTTTATTTTCTCACCTCTCAATTCTGTGTGATATGCTGAGTCCTCTCCACAGAAGGCCTGCCCAAGCCTGACTAACTTGGAACTTCTGACTGTCCACATGTTCTGACACTCCCTGTCCCACACTCCAGCCCCCAGACATCTTTTACCAAAGTACATGGTATCTGAGAGAGACCACAGGAAAGTGATCTCACTGAATTAAAAACAAATGTGCCTACAATCTTTCTAGCTGTATTTTCATATTTTTAAAAGTAATTCTAAGTGTCACAAATACTTAAGAAGGGAGTTTTAAGATGCACACAAGTTGGAATATGAAGGCCCAGACTATGACAAAAAAAGTTCTATAAGGGATCAGGCCACTCCAGTTACAGTGCTTGCAACCTACAGCATCAAATATGACTTTCCCCTTCTGAATCTCCATCTGCAGGAGAGTGAGGGGGTTTTCCTCTGAGTAGCACAGGAGGACTGAGGGGAGGACCCTACAGCTGGCTTGTTAATGTTGGGAACTGCTTTAAATAATTTGTGGGAACAAATTTGCATTCTTATTTATATTTGGCTTCGGATTAGTTTGGGAATTTGTTGTATATTCTCAACACACATCTACTTCAGGGTTATAAGGAAAATCTCCTTTGATAATAAAACCTGAGAGCAGATGGTCCATCATGGATTAGTCACAAGCATTGACAGTTGCTTTTTTTATTCTGATGGTCAAATACATTGCAATTATTTTCTGTCTAGATAACTTCACATTTCATTTAAAATCTAACCAATCTCAGAGCTTTGATTGTCTAGTGATAGAGCATAGAAAACAAGAATTTTGAAACAAAAAGTAAACTATGTAGACATTTAAAAAAATGCTTCAAGAGGAAGGAGATACTGACCCAAGGGTGATCCATGATCTTAGTCACAGTAAAAAATGTTTTCCTTCATCATGCTTGGGGGACCAGCTCTCATGAAAATTTCCAGCCTGTCTCATATGAGTAGTACCAAAAATTAGAAGAGATTTTCTAGACATTAGATGTCACTTTAAGACACCACTCCTCTATGTCTAATATGTTAAAAACAACAATAATATAAGATAACAGTTTTTCAGTGAATGAATTTTAAGACACTTAAGAATTTTAAGACAGTGATGAAATAATAATTACCTGCAAGGGACTCACCAGGGACCTGTTTTTAGGTGCTGTAAATGCTTTGAGAACATTGTCTTCATCTTCTGATACTGGTGTCATTAAAACAGAGCTTGTAAGAATATTCTAAAAAGAAAGAAAATATTTGAAATTTAAATGAGCTTGGATAATATGAAAGCCAACAATCCTAACACTGTTGAGAGGAGATTACTATGAGATGGTACTCATTAGCATGAAGAAATGCAGGCATCTTCCAGAAAGTTTCTTCCCTGTGAGCTAAAAGGAGAACTCAATGATGTACTAACCCTCACACCACTGTGGCAAACACCACCAGAACCCAAAAACCTTTGGGTCCCATCTTATTCTAAGCATGGGGTATGCACTTAAAATCCATCTTCTAAATGAATTCATAAGTCCATGCTTTTAAAACTAAAGGATATTCTAAGCTCTTGGATATGGATTGTTTATTTCATATACTGGGACAGAAATATTTTATAGCTGTATTAAAGGCAGTATAGTTCAATGACAAAAAGCCACGCTTCTATGGATTTTTAGAATTTAGAGCCACATTTTTAGAGTTCTAATCCAGTACCAGCCCCATGAGGTATATAAACTTGAATAAATGACTAAGATACCAAATTTTCTAGTTGCTATAATGGAAGTGATAATGTTATCAATCTTATAGGGTTACTGCAAGGATTACATGAATTAACTCATCTAAAGTCATTAGATTAGGACTCACCACTTAATACATACTGAATAAGTATTAGTAATTATTGTTTGCTTAGATTCTCCATAAGACATAAGGGCAACTATTCACTAATAGTAAACTGGAAAAATGATGGAACCAAGGCAAGGCAATCCTGTTGGCCCTATGCACCCATGTATTCAGAACCAAACCTTGGGAAGAAAATCCACATATACTGATATGTACAGACTATTGTGGTCTTTATCTACTAAACAATATAGACAGAATCTGTTTTGAATACATAAACAAAAATTTCAACTTTATATTCTAACATTAATAATCATTTTTTTAAAAAAAAATGCATGAGAGGCTGTTTTGAAACCAGATGCACTAAAGAGTGAGTACTGAAACCACAATGGCCCCACATACCACACATAGGATTCTGAGTCACTAGTGGAGCAACTTGGGCACTGGTGCATGGGTACTTACTGGTGGTGCCTCTGCCACAGGTGATGCCTGTGTGAACAGTTGAGCATTCAGACTGTCCCCTTCCCAGTGGCTTGAGCAGAAGAAGTTTCCCGCTTTATCAGTTGGAGATTCTACCTAAAAGCAAACAGCAAGTGCTTGTCATTTCTACCAGTACTACTTTCACGAAATATTTATTCTCAGTAGTAAATTTCTGGTCAGTCTCTCAAACATTCAACCTTGCATGAAAATAAATCCAAGAGGCAAATTATCCAACTTGTTAAGAGATGCCTCTTGCCAACAAGCTACTTTGATCCTTGCAGGTTACATCTCCTTTCTTCTATACTATGAATTTAAAATACTACCATTTGAGTGTGAATTCCTATTTTTCTATGGTCTCAGAAAGTGAGGGAATATGTCATTCAGGGTAACTTGAATTTGTGTTCCCAGTGATAGTCATTCATATTTGGCTCAGAATAAACTGTTTCTTATTCCCTTAAAAAAGGGAGAGAGAAAATGGAATATTTATCATCTATCTATATTTTTAAGTATAATAAAAAGCTTCTGCCCTCTCTTTCCCTTATCCTAGCATCTTCTCTATATAAAGTTGATAGAAGTGGCTTGGCTTTCCAAACGAAAGGTTGCTGCCTACACTCTGGCAGTACCTTTTGAATGCATCTTGTATGAAAATCTTACATGAGAAGTGGTGCTGTCGCACAGCATCGAGGCCAGGCACATCAAAATGCACGAAAGAACAAAGGCAGCAGGAGTCACAGCTTGTTCCTTCCATAGGGTCTTATACTTACCTCCTGTTTGATTTTCTTCAGTAAAGGTGGGCCATTCTCTTGAAACTCAGCAACAATGCCAGATTCATCTGACTCTTGTTTGATCACATCCTGTAGATCTTCTACTAGATGAGACGGCGTCTGAGGCTGTAGGGAAGAGTGGACATTTTTGCATCAGAGGAAAATTCCTATCTATGCTAATAAGTCAACCACACTCAAGGACTTTTCCAAAACTTACTAGCATCTTCAGGGGACCATATTTAATTTCTTGAGCTGCAAGTGCATGTTTGAAAGGTGTGGGTGTTCTTGGCGAGCTTTCTAGGATTGACCTTTTGATAGCTGGAGTTCTAAACCTTTAAAAAAGAGAACAAGCAGAGGCTTAATATGAAAGAAATGTAATGCTCATCACTTTGTTTTATCTATCAAATTTAATTTTTTTCCAATAAACTCTACCACTGGTACGGAATTGGATATGTTTATAAATCATATCCATTCACTAGGGAGAAGATAATAGTAGACATATCTTCAAAATATTATATATAATATATAATATTATATAATAATAGTATATAATATTTCAAAATATTATATAGCCTTAAGACTAAAAGTGCTAAAATATTATTCATCTTTCCTGATGTTTCTGAGGATATGGGAAAATGCCCTCAATCTATATAAGAACTATAATAAACTTTGCCATATCTGATATCATTGACAAATCAATTTATATATTCATTAAAAGGAGATTCACACTAGAAAACATGTTAACCTTTTAAAATTTATTTTTTTGTATTTGGAAGTAATAAGAATGGATTTCCTTCAAAGGTTTCTTATAATTCAAACTGATTTTCTCTTCCATTTCTTTGAATAGGTTAAGCCTTCATCAAATAAAAATGATTGTTTAATCATACCTTGGCTTTTAATCATATGATATTTCTGAAGATGTCAGAGAAAATTTAAGAGTAAAAATACGACCTATGTAAAGAACCACGATCAATCTTATTTTGAAGCTTATAATCAGAGAAGAAAGAAGGCTGAAAATCTTTTTCAGTGAGAGAAAAATTCAGTAGGGACTGAATGAACAAACAAACTAGATGGAAACATTTTATTAAAACTGCCTCTGCATATACAGAAATTGGAGTGAACTATAAAAGGCAATTTTGTTTATTTTCCCAGCTTCTACTTCTAGTTAGTTCTAACATTCCTAGGACAGACATATTCTGTCTGGGAATATTTAATATTTTTAATACATATAAATACACTAGCAAATTACTTACATACAAATATATCAGATAGTTGGGGGTTATATTCCATTAATTAGTTATAACCAAGATAAATAAATATTTTTTTCTTGATCCAAGAACTTACATGGTGTTTTCCTTTTGAGTTTTCACAGTCTGGTCTCTATGAAACGGTGTTGTAACAGTCAATTTGTAACCATTGAGAGGGGTGGAAGTTAAAGAAGGTGTTTCCAAGTCTAAGCTTTCATGGTTACTGGAAGTGTTTAAGAACTAAACACAGGAGAGAGAGAAAAGAACTACTTAGATTAAACAGTGATTCTCTACTCAGCCCAACTTCAAAATCACACCTAGATAATAAGCAAGTATGGTTTACTGACCCACTATGCAAAATAATAGATATTAACAATCATATGGTGTTGAAGAGGGTATTAATTTACTTCAATTGAGCATCCAAAATAAAACTAGAGTCAATACTGAAAAACTCGCAAAATCCTAAGAAAATATTATCAATAAAAGACACTTGCGATTAAAGAAAATGAGACACACCCTTTACTAACATTAAAAAGGTTATAAAGTATTTCTTTTAATAGTCAGGAGGCTGAGGTAGGATCACTTGGGTATAGGAGCTTGGGCAACTTATGAGACCCTGTCTCAAAACCAAAAAACAAACAAAACAAAACAAAACAAAAAATAGTGACGACAACAAACTAACTCAGGGTACTTGTGTAAAGAAACTGTTTTTAACTTTGAGTCCATGTTTCTCAGATGTACATACCTATATACTTAGACTTTTTTCTGGAACATCATCTATTAAAATGTTGCAGAACTAACATTCTGCAAAACACTGCTTGGAAAATACAGACAAAAAAACCCTATACACACACACACACACACATGTACATATATACACATATGTGTACATATATATACTTATATACAAATATGTATGTATATACATATGTATGTATACATATATTTTTTTGGTGGAGGTATCATTTGTTTATACTTAAAGCTGTTCTCCAAACAAACGCAACAGAAAAAATTGGAAAAACATTTTAAAGTGCCAGATTATCTATTAATTTCAATTATTTTAATAATTTAGGAACACAAGTGTCTGATAAAGACTATAATTTCTATGCCTTAGAAACACTATATGAAATGAGAATATTCTTTGGCAAAAGCTTCACTAGTAAAATATGACACAACTCAAAAGAGCCAATGATGAAAATTTTAAATTTTCCTTAAGCGTTTGTTCCTCATCCTTTCCCTCCACCTTCCCACTCAAAGAGAGATTGGAATCTAAATTTCCAGTTGCAACCCAAATGGTATGTTTTCATAATTTGGTTCCCTCCTTTCTGGGGTCAGTGAATCACATAATGATAAATGAACAAAGAGGCAGAAAACATGTTAATATTTTAAAAGAAAGGGATCACACAGGACTAGAGAAAGAGACAGAAATGCTAAATTCTAGGGTAGAAGGAAATAAGAGCATATCCCATGCAAACTATCTTCCAAATAAAGTAAAAGAGAGAATCAGGACAAAACCATCAGCTAGTCTGCAGCCAGCCTAGGCTCTGAGAGGCAACAGGTCTCAGCCACAGCTAGATTCAGTGCCAGAATGAAATCAGCAAGGGCAGCAGTAGTCATTTGTTCCAAAGGATTAGTTTCTAGATTATTAAGGCTCAGGTGTCTGTTGCAAATTAGTAACAGCTGTGCAGAAATTGTGTGCTACCTGCGAGGGAGAGAAGGGCAGGCTTTTGACAGGGGAACGCTTGGGACTTGCACTGCTGACGTCAGCAAATAAGAAGGAGCTAGAGTCTCCAGTGGCTAGGGGGCTGGCCTGGCCCCGCTTTTTTCGAAGGATGACCAGTGGAATTGTGCTGTGCTTTGCAGGAGGTAAAGCCTTGGGAGGGTTGTTCACCCTCGGGTTAGGCTCTCCTACAGGGCTATTCCCATTGCCCTCTCTTTGCTGAAGCTGGAGCCCTTTGCCTGCGGAATGCTGTCTAGGTGGAAAAGCTGCTTCTTCAGAGAATTCAGAACTGCTGAGATCACACCATGATGAAGAATCCTGAAACAATGTGGGAGGCACAGAACTCTGAGACAGTGTGCGCAAGTTGTGTGCCATCATCACCTGAAACAGCACTGAGAAAGACATGCTAAGTGCACAGAAAACCTGGGGCCCATATGGTGAACTTTTTCCAGCAGCAAGGGTACCAGTCGTTTGTCACCCTGCATTAGCAGGAACTGCTAGAGGTTAGTCCTACAGATGTGCTGTGGGGAGCTCCTGACATCCTATCATTTACATGCAATATACAGCAAAGAGAAAACCTTTCTAGAAGGCACACAGTGGCGATATCCATGCCCTTTCCAGCAAGTACACAATAAATGTTTTTTAACCAACTAGGAAACCCAGGAAATGAAGTGAGTGTCTGCTGAGTGGGGGCTGAACTCCAGTTTGTTTCACTAAGAATGATTTATCTTGGTGAACCAATGGGACGGATAATTAATGTTCGGTATTTTATACAGAAAGCCACATCTACCAATGAACTGATTATTTCAAATACACTGGAAGATTGCTTTAAGTTCCCAGTAAACATAATTCTTAATATGCTATCCAAAAGCAAAGCAATATTCTAGAGAAGCACAAAGAAGTAAGCAAAATAAAAGATCCTTTAAAAGTAACTCAAACACCAATTCCATAGCTGGAGTTCTGCTTTATAAGTCATTGGCTTTGTTATTATTATTATTTTTAAATATGCTCTTTGAAGGATAGCTGGAGTCCTGCTTTATAAGATTTATTTTTTTTTAAATATGCCTTTTGAAGGAAAAGTTTAACAGCTGTCTTTTGTCTTGGTAGGGTATGATATGAGATCTCTGCAAAAATATATTTGTTAAGTCTAAATTCATACGTTTACCTATACATGAATTGAGACCAATAACATTTACTATAGAAAACGGCAAAGAGTTATGAAATGAGTTTTCTAAATCCCTTCCAGAAACATTAACTTGCCTTAGTAATTCTACTTACAGAATCTATAAATTGGAGTGTTTCTGCAACTTCTAAGAGGTTCTTAACATTATCCAGAATGGTACCCTGGTGGACGATCATGCACCTTGCTGGCGAGGCACTTTCTTCAGGTAGGGAGCTGGGATCCACTGGCAGAGATGGAGTGGAGTGGTGTTCCCCCAAACAGGAAACAGGTGCACTGTCTCCATGAGGTCTGGTGTGGTCGACAATGGAGGTGCTGTGCCACCCTGGGTAGCTGCATGTGTGGTTCTGTGTCTGAGGAAGGGGGGGTGGGGTGAGTGTAGAAATAAAGAAAAAGTGGGGGAAAAGAAAGGAAGAAGGAACTTAAAGCAATGATGTTGCACAAGGTATCTGATGCTGTTGGAGGAAAGATAAAAGTAGTTGCATCATCCAAAACTTATGCCTATGAAACAGTTGTCAAGATGTTTCCTTTTTGTCAATGCAAGCCCCTGCTTTTTAACAGTACTAGAGTTTATGCTTATGTGGTTACCTTCATTGTTATCATTTTGTTAAAACTTCAAACTATGCTACAAAGTACAAAGTTTTCATACTGACTGTCTTAGGAAATCAACTTGAACACAATTCGCAAAAGGTCCATCAATGTTGAGTTAAGAATTGTCTTATTTGCATTCTAACCTACTAAAAAGCTAGAGAACTCAAGAGGTTAAGTTGCTTTTCTGTGTACATGTTCCTGATGCTTCTATCCCTTTCTAAGGATGTAGACTGCACCGAGGCAGTGAAGGGCTGCCAAATCAGCGTGGTTAGGAAAGCAGAAGAGCAAATTAACAGAAGTCTCCTTTCAGCATGACCACGCAACAGGAGAAATTGCAAAACATTAAAGTTAAAAAGTGGTTGAGTGGTCAAACTAACATGTGCACATAATCATTTTATTATTTAACAAAAAAGAAATTTACCCCTAAGAATACCTACTAGGTATCACTTCTCTTTTATTCACTTTGTTGGCTAACTAGATTTGTTACAAAGTACAAGCTGCTTTCTCAGTTTGCTGCCCAATTATTAAAAAAGATATCAGAATTCAGTAATGATCCACACAACTTTCATGCATGCAAACAAAAGAGACCAGTGTTATTTATGCATCAGTGTTTTACATCTATACATATAAAAATATGTATATAAAATAAAAATATAATAAATATATATTTAATAATAAGTATATAAAATATACATAAATCTTTTTACATGTAATACTGAATGTACATCAAATCATGTTTGCAATTATAAAACAAGGACAGATTAAGAAAGTGAGAGAAAAAGAAAAAAAGTTAAACAAATAGCATATAGTACAAAGCTTTGTAAAAAAAAAATATAGCACTTCTTTTATTTTATTCTTGCTAATCTTTTAACTGATTACAGTCCTGGAGAAAAAAAATGGCTTGATGAAAAGCACAAATGAATTTTGTTTCTACTGTAATACAAAAAGACTACTTCCAATTTAGTTAATACACATTCTTTTTAAAATTTATTTCTTACATACATGACAATGGTGGAGTGCATTACATAGTTAATACACATTCTGATACCAACAGTATTTTTTTTTTTTTACTATCAACTACTTCTGTTTAAACATAGTTAACTGATATATAGAATTGTGGCTGGGGTAATATTTAGAAGAGAAGAAAAAGGATACAGAAGAGTATTGGGGTAAAGCTGCAAACCATCCCCCCAAGTACGTAGTGACATTCTTACCGGTAATGCCTGCTGTCCTTTGAGCTCATTCTCAGTTGACATTAGGAGCAACTCTAATTCCTTTATTCGTTTTTCTTTCTCAGGGTCTTCATCGTTATAGTGTCTCTGAAATTAGAAGTTAAGGGGAGGGGAAGCAAAGGTCTGATTGGAAAGTGGTTGTAGCCTGGAGTCTTAAGGTACCACCACACAGCCCAAGGAGCCTCAGTGTAAAACCAAGACAAGTCAAATATTTCCACTACAGAAATCTTTCTGAATGAGATTTCAAACTTAAGGTAGTGATGGGAAATCTGAGGCTATAGAGTGGATGCTGCCTAATGAATTGTTTCAACTTGAAACAATGAACATCAGAAAACCCTCCAGAACAAACCCTCCAAGAAGCCAAGATTGGTAGATTGTTGGCCTGAACTTTACCCTCCTCTCTACTATTCCCTTTTCTTTTTACTTCAGCTGCTCAGGTGAAAATAAGTGTCTACATAAAAGAAATAAAGTATTTCTTAAAAGCACTGCCTTGCCCAGATAATGAGTTTCTTTATAAGAGAATCTTACCTGAATGGCTGCAGCAGCTGGCTGAGGAACATTAACTATATTTACATGTAAAGCTACAGGATATGGAACATGACTGGAGACCTAGATCAAAAAAGGGAAAACAAAGGCCGAGTCATTCATGGTTACATATGCTTCAGGGGATTTGACTTCCTGAGGTTTTATTCTGGGACTGAAGGGGGAAAAGTACTCTACTGATAAAATTCTCTAAACAATTAAATAACAACAAAAAACCTCCTTTAATTTGAAGTTTAGCCAGGCCTTTTAAAAATGGCTGAACAGCTAAAGCAATACAATGAAAGAAATTTAAGGTACTCATCAGTCCCAACAGGAAGCATTCCTTAGAGAAAAAAACACGATGGAAATATAATCTAAAATACATTTGTGAATGTATGAAACGTTTTCATGGGAAAAGGAGATGGTACTAGCTGCTTGTAACAAAATATTTTTCTGAGAATAATTATGATGTTTTGATAAAAAGCACAAAACCTCTTATGATAATCCATTCACCTGAGACCTTTCTGGAAAGTCTGTAGTCAAATCCATGGAACAGAGAAAGAAGAGTAAAAACTACTCATGAATATGTTTTGCCTAACATTTGCGTATGAGGTCTGTATTCTTGGATAAATTTCATCATTTATTATTGTTAGTTCAAAGATTAACATTCCTTGATTTTTCTTCTTTTCCACTCACTAAAAATCCTTTCTTTCCATACATATAAATGTCTAGAAATGAGGAAGGAATCACACTAATCCAAAGAAAGATAAAAGGGAACATTGGACTATCAATGCCATAAAGCTCTGCTCTTGAATCAGAGTAAAAATGTAAACGTTTACTGAATCAATAACTGCATTTTGGCTAGATCACTACCAGAATTAACAACCTATCCATTGGTGTCAAGCTATTTTCTCTCCAAATGTAATATTACATTCACTTTTCATTTTGGAAGAGAAAAATATTAGACTATAAATGTATCTTTCCCTTCCCCCATTCGTCTTCAGCAGTACTTTAAGAAAATTTACATCCAAACTCTAATTTTAAATTAGAATTGAAGTAGTGAGTTAGAATCAAACAACTTGGATTTTACCTGGCAATACCATGACTTGTAATCCTGGACAGAATCACTTAACCATCTCATTTCCAGACACATGACTCAGGGATACCCATATTTACCCTGATCTATTTCAAGGGGTATAGGTGAAGATTGATCTTAGTTATGTTTAGGAAAGCTCTTTGAAAACAATATAACCACAAGTATTATTATTATCGGTAGCTAAAATAACCATGTCTTTCACTAAAGTAAATTCTCAGGAATGGCTTACGTTTTGTGCTTCGGAAATTTGGTAATAGGAATAGTCATTGCTGACTGAGGGCTGGCCAGTTGGAGGGAGTTGAGATGAAGGTGGGGCATGAGCAAAACTCATCAAGTGATTGTTTTTCTGGAAGCCTGTGGCCACTGTTGGCTGGCTGGCTTTAGAAGACTCCTGCAGATAACCTTCCTGTTCCACCTTCCTACGCATTGTAGAATTCCAGTGGTTCTTGATAGCATTATCAGTTCTGCACAGAAATATAGCACATAAAAATTTTACAAACAAAAATTTCAATTCAGATTAGAGTTAATTGACAGAAAACTGTTTCTAACAGAAATCTTTATTTTGGTTCCACTAACAGTTGTTTTCTCTTTTTAATTGTTTCGTTCTTTTCCACCTGCTAAGATCTTGCTTTCCCTGTAGCCAAATTTAAAAATCCATAGATTTCTCTTATTTATATAATCTAGAATGTATGGATCTTTCTATAAACTCTGGTATCTTTTCATCATTTTGTGTCTGAGGTAAGGGAGTATTTTCAACACGATAACCTTTCAGTGTTGATCCTGACCATTTGTGGTACAAGACTCAAATACAACCTAAAAGTTCTAGCTGTCCTAAAACAATTACTCCTTCAAGAATGGCTTAGCAGGGCCTACCCACCACAAAAATCAGGGACTTGGCAGTGTTTGGGAATGACAATGACGCTGTCTCAGTGTCTACTCTTTAACTCTTATATCACTAGTGAGAAATTTGGAGTCAAAAACCCTTCCTACCTTTTGAAAAGCATCCACTGTTCTTACAAGCCAGACAGAGGTGAAAGGAAAGGGAAAAAGGGAAAAATGATAACTCCCGGATATTTTCAAACTGCAAAGCATTTTCATTAATGTCTTTCCATTCTCGGGAAGTTTCTCAATTCAAAAAAAGAAAAAAAAAACCCAAAACCAAAAAACCATTTTAAGACTACCTTTCCCTATTTTCATGGGGGTGAGGGAATGTGTGATAAAGTAAGAGGAAGTTGAATCACCCCTTTAATTTTTAGAAGAGGCAATAGTATATCCTCCATAGGGGAGAAAAGGCCACCTTTGACAAATCTCTTGGATTTTCTAAGCTTTTACTAAACCCCGAGGGAGGAAATGCTTTGGAGCATCACAAGAAAACACAGCATAATTCATCTTTGAAATTACCCTTTCTCCATTTTTATATTAAGAAGCTCAAGAATAAAAATATCTTTAATATTTTCTACCTTAAAATCTATAGTTAAAAAGTATTTTCCAAAGTAAGAAAATTCAGTTATATATTACTTAAGGGAGGAATATGGGACAAAAATGAGCTTCCATAGTCATTCCTCATAATAAGATCATTTTCTTGCCTTGTTCACTGAAAAAAAAGCTTTATATTGACATTATTTAAAAACCTGGAAAAAGTATGATAACTCTAGAAATACATTATTTCTTTATTCAAAGTAAAAAAAAAAAAAAGTTAATCATGTAGCATAATGAAGTGAAGCCAGGTATTTGGAAAATAATAGATGACCAACTGCCAAAATGGTAGCCAGTCACTAAATTGGCCGAATGAATTTAGACCAAGGACAGACTGTCCACATTCAGTTTCCTTTTGTGTTTAGAGCTCTGCAGTTTACAAAGTGCTCTGACATTTATTTTACTTTGATCCTAGCATTGGCTCTGTGATATAGATTATTACTTATTTTTGCAAATGGGGAAACCACGGCTAAGTAAAGTTCAAAGATTTAGCCCAAGGCTCACCACTGGCTGGATCCTAAAAGTCCTCCACTAGATAAACTATAGGATATTTTCTGGTTCTAAATAAAACATTATTGATGGTATGTAATTTGTTCATACATTTAAAACAGAATGTTAGAATCCCGCTCCTTCATTCTTCCCAATCAATATATTTTTTGACATAGTATTACCGTCCAGGCAGTAGCTTTGCGATTTCTGCCCATCTGTTCCCCAGTCTCTTGTGTGCCTGGTAAATAATTCTGTCTTCCTCTTCTGTCCAGGAGGTTTTCTTAACTTCTGGATTCAAGTGGTTATGCCACCTCTCCCTACATTGTTTTCCAATTCTCCCTTTTAAGTGCTTGGCAATAACAGACCAACGTTTCGGACCGTATTTCTGTACAAGTTCTATCACCTTCAGATAAACACACAAAAATAACCTGTGTTTTAATGTTATGTAATGAGTCATTAATCATTCTTCAGTGTTACAAGTTCTTTAGAAAACTTCTAAAAGTCTGCTTTCATTCACTGGAAATATGGGACCAGAGTCCTTTACTTCCTGTTTGCTCACTTTACCTGCTTCCTTGGCTGGGGAAACATCCAACAAAGATGTCTGGGGAATATTCTTAACTTTAATGCACACATCCGTGAAAACAAAACTTACTCTCTGATCTTCTTCTTTGGTCCAAGGACCCTTGATGAGCTCAGGGTTTAGCACTTTCTGCCATCGGTGTTGGCACTGCACATCTGTCCGATTCTAGACAAAGTATGCACCATCATAAAGATAGAACACCATATGCATGTGAAAACTTTGCTTAATATGAGTCATACAGAGAAAATATGCAATGAAAACATTCAAGAACACCTTAAGGCATGTGTAGAGAGCCCACCTTTCCCTCAGTACTTACAGGCTAAAGAATGTACAGAATACATCAAACTTGCATATAAAATTAGAAGCTTTGCCTCCTGTGCCTGTCAATTTAACTTAACCTTGACCTCAGTCTGTGGCATGTGAAGTAACCTACATGGTTACAGACTTCTTAGAAATTCCAGTTTTTCAGACTTCAATGGAAACCCACCAGAAAGGAATATAATAAAGTTTGCTTCCCAAACTAAGAGATGTGCATTCAGGAGCACAAGACATTATATTGTGGAAGGAGCAAAGATGATAAAAGGTAGGCCTACTTTATAGGACCTTGCAATCTTACATGAAGGGAAAGGCAAATATATAATTAATTATGACAGAAGGCTGAATTCAATTCATATTCAAGGAGAGACACAAAGCAAAGTGCCATGGAGGTGGGGAGTAAAGCATTCCCTTAGGAGGAGAAATTCCTTCTAAAGAAAGGAATCCAAAAGAGCTCTGTCTGTGGACGTTGGAGGATGGTCAGAACTTTTGACTGGAGAAGGAAAAGGAGAACATTCTAGGAGGTGAGATGAAAGGATCAAAATTCCAGAGGAGGAAAGCAGAAATGAATTCCACCAAATGAGCTTATGGAGAGAAGTAGGAAACAGCATGGGAGCTATAAGTTGGGGCTATGTAGGGGGACCTCTCTGTATCAGGTCAAAGCAGTTACTTAGTTTGTAAGACTGTAAGTCACCATTGGTGGGTTTTGGTTATGATGTTAAGGGTTAAACCCAGAGTCTTGCACATACTGGGTGAGTGCTCTGCTACTGAGCTACACCTCCAACTACTATTGTTGTTTTTGAGAAGATAAGATACATATGCATTTTAGGAAGCTGATCTGTCAATAGTGTTTGGGATGGAGAAAAAAATGGAAAGCTACAAGTGGGGAAGCCATTGGAATAGCCCAGATGAGAAAACAGGGGGCCTATCTTGTGACCCAACTATGGAATGTAAAGGATGAGGAGACTACCAAGGAATTCCAGCTTTCTTCATAATTGCTTAGACATAAGGGACAACAGAATGGGATAAGTAAAAAATATCCTAGCATTTCAAACCTGAGTACCAAACACATGGCTATTTACAAAAATGGGGAATTCAGAAGCTGAACAGGAAAAAATATCAAGTTTAATCATCTACTATGTAACAAATCATCAGAACGTTAATTTATATTATCTCAAGAAATCAAAGATAAGCAAGAAGCAATTGTTTAAGATGTTGTGGAAATGTTTTAAAATTTATTTAGAAACCCCCAAAACATGCATTACAAAATGTAAATGATGAGAGGGCATCTCTCCCCCTACTTCTTATATATGAGCAATATGTGATATCTTAATAGCTTCTATAAGAATATTTTATTTAAATCTTTAGGAGGAACTTTTCTATTACAAAGAGAATAAATCACTAACTTACCGGGAGATAATTGGCAATGACTTTCCAGTCATCTGTTCCATTCTGTTCCACCAGCTTCTTGAGTTTTTCATCCTAGGACATTTAAAGATAATCCTAAGATATCAGTCATTTACTGAATAACTCTGTTCAAGTTCTACTGAACAACGGAATTAATGCTAGGATCCAGGGGGGAAAAAAACCCTACTCAAAGTATCCAAATACAGAAAATAAATTATACTGGTCTAGAGCAGAGATTTATTTAGAGTCAGACTAGAGTTTTTATTTTGGCTCAGCTATTGATTAGTTATACCAGTTGCATGTATTATTTTACCTTTTCGGACCTTACTGTTGTTATCTATAAAATGGGAATGCTGATATCAATAGGATTGTCTGGGGATTACACAGGGTAATTATGCAAAACATTTATAATAATCCCAGGCACCTATTCAGTGCATAATATATGACAACTGTTAGGAGTTTTACTTAATGATGAAGAAATAAATTTCAATATTAGACTCAGTAGCCATTGAACTATGATAATAGATAAGATCTTGAATAAAAAATAGAATATTTCCATTTGGTTCAATCTCTTTCATATGTTAAAAAAATAGAAGATAACTTTTTTTGATACTTAAACTTGAATGCATATATAATGTAATAAAGTCATTTGGTTTTTGTTATCAATATATGCAGTTTTAAATGAGGCCAAAACATATTAGAACACAGAAGACACTAAAACATTCATGGAAAATTGGTTCTTTCAGTTCATGTACTATTCACTGTCCCATCACTTCATAAGAGTCGTTCTCAATGTGCTTTTTATGTTTCTGCAAAGGTAACATCCATTCACAATACAGGTCCCTGGTACAATACAGACACAACCAGGAACCAGGTTAACAACAGAACTTCTATTTCCCTAATGATCATCCTAAGTGCACAATCTCTACAGGTAAGATATGAATTTCCCATGTGCTTCCATGGAAATCCTGTCTGTCTGTCCAAAGGTACTCTGGTTTAAATGAAGCAGAATGCAATGAAATTGAAGAGAGTTAATATAACTTATATTTAAATTAAATCTTCTATGATCGATGGCAATTTTTTGGAGAATATTAAAAAAATAAACTTTTTCTCACACTGTAATAATTTAGCTTCAGAAGGACTTTTCCTTTCTTGAAAGGATTAAGCTTTTGATAAACTAGCAGAAAAAGAAATGTGGGGAACAGTGGTCTTTCTACCCATTACTGAGTGGTTTTAGAGCAAACATTCATACCCATATATGGATCTGTGAAAGATCAATACCAAGAGTATTAAATGAATATATTATAAAAGGGTAAGTTCTATACATGTTTTGTTTTATTCCTTGTTTTGTTTTTGGAAATAGCAATTCATTCATTTATTTAGGGAGTATTATTAACATCCTACTTTGCAGTGGTGAGTAATTCTGGGTTCAGGAAATACAAAGATAGTGATGTTTAGCTCTACCCTCAAGAGGCTTGCAGTCTCCTGGGAGAGATGCAGCTATCACATCAACACTAAGGCAGAATCTATACCCAAGGGCAGAGAAATGAAGGAGGATGCTTCCAGCCCTCTTGGAGGAAGCCAGGGATGGCTTCACAGAGTGGCCATATCTTTGTCATTAATGAAGAAATGGTAGGAAGTGGTGGGTCTCAAGAGCGAGAACTGGATAGGCAGAGGGAAACAGATGGAACATAAAGGAGAAAGGAGACGACACGTGGATGAGTGGGGGACATAAGCAGCCAAGGCCAAGCTTTCAAAGACCCTCCTAATGAGCTATAGCACCTGGAGTTGAGCTGGAATTTTGTTGTTCATAAATTATACACTACCATTTTTTTTCATGCTTTGATAATATGATTATTTACCTCTTCCCTGGTCCACCTAGTTTTCCCTAAGTGACGCTTTCCAGACTTGGGAAGCAGCCCATCATAGTCATGGTCACACATTTCAATGTCTTCATCATCCTCGTCACTACTGTATATGCTGCAGAAATAAGAATGGCAGACTTGGGCTGAAACAAGAGGATTTAAACTATTGGATTACAAAACTTACATAAAAACTCCTCAACAAGCTTTTCAAAGGTTATGAAGATGAAACTTTGGAAACTTGCACAACAAGATTGTTTTCTGCGTTCTGTTGCTCTAGTATTGTAAACTGGTTCTGCTGTTATTGGTATCCACAGATACGGCAAAGGACCTGGCACTGTCTTACTGCTCTGCATGTTTGGACCTGCTCTTATTGTTAGATCAGTGACAAGTTACACATTTGGCAACCTTCCAACCAATGAAGGTTTAAATTTAAAACTTAATGTTAAGACAAGAAAAAGAATAAGAGCCCGGGTCCTTTATATAAGTGCACTCTCAAAATCTCTGGGATATGTCACATCATTTAAGTAATATCTCCCAAATACAACAAACAAATCACTTATGTTATTCCAACAGGGCTGGCATTTTATTACAATAAAAATTCAAGAAATAATATATCCAATAATATAATTATAGTCATTCCTTAAGATGAGAAGATTACAAGAAGGTAAGAGGAAAGGATTTTAAAGCCTGAGAAAGGATAAGACCATCAAGTGATCAAAGTGTTTTGGCACTAACATAAATATCAAATTGTTCAAAACCCTGGGCCTGAAGGACCCAACTGTGGCCATGTTTACATGACTCAGTTTCCATAGTAACTAAGTGAATAATTAGGCCACTTAATAGTCAGAATCTTTTTTACTCTTATTTTTTCTATCTTTGACTAAGTGATGTTTAAAATATCTTAAAATGTACCCAATTCAAAAGTAAGGGATTCCCCCAGAAGAAATCTATGGGTTAAAAAAAATTATTGTTTTCAAAAGAGATTTTCCCTTTACTAGTTGACTAAAATATGAATTTTGATGAGTTTTGACAAAATTCTATACTTAGTTTATTTATCATATACCGAAGAGATGAGAGTAATTTCATAGCTTACTCTCAGCTGTAATTTTCTTTATAAAACAAGATATGAAAAGCTATACTACCTTACAAACTTCATTAAAATTTGTCATTGTAATATTGAGAAATCCATCAAACTGAGACTGATTGCTTTATGATAAAAGCAATATCATAATGCAAATTATTTTAAAAAAGGAAAATTACATTCATAAAAGGTTTTATCTTACCTAACTAACTCAGAAGCATAAATTACCAACTCCCTACAAGTCAAGCAGAAGTGCTCATCAAAAACTCTGAGTTGGGATTCTAATGTTTAAAACTATTATTTTGAGAAACAATCTGATGATCCAGGTTGCATGGTGACAAGATGTAATCTAAACTTCAAGTACAACTACCAACACCCACACCCACACACACACATACACACACACACACTCACAAATCCCATTAAAGCATACTTATAGTCTTTTTTTTTTTTTTTCATTTAGTTTCTATCCTTTGAAACAAGAGTCTATGTTTAGTACTGGAAATAGGAGGGAGTAAACAATCAATCATAATTACAATAATAATATTGACAAGTCAATAACCATTAAAACAATTTCCTTTTAACATAAAATACAGTATTATAAACAAAAAATTAACATAAGCCCAGAGCTGTAAGTCTGCATCTTTTGAAAGGTTCCTAGTAAACTCCTTAGAAAGCCATCAAATGAAGTAGCTCCTTGTGAAGTATCATGGATAGCAAGAAAACCAAAGGAATTTGAAAGTAGAGTCATAGGCTCAACTCAAATTAACTTTTTAGGTTTGGCTAGACCTGGAGACCTGAACTGTGGACATTTCCCAAACCATTAACTGGGCATATCCCTTGGCAACAACAATCTAGAAACAAGCAAAATATTCAGCTGCCCACAGGGGGCAGTCCATCTCAGGTGAGAAAGAACTGGAATCAAACAGGACCAGAGTTCTCTAGAGGATAAGGTGTCAGTCCTAGTTCTGCCTCCGCCTAGCTGCGTGACTTGGCCAAATCACTTCCTCTCTCTCGAGACTTCGGTTCCTCGCTTATACATTAGGGTTTGGATTCTATTTCTAAGGTACTTTCCAGCGTGCATAAATGATACCTATATGTCTTCTGTGACTCTTTGAAATTAAGCAAATAGGCAAAACTGTGCAAAACCAAGGTCTTGGGGGAAAACGTGGCATGTGCCTTCTGCAAGGGCCATGAGGACAGCGGGACCAGACCAGGACTGCTATCAGCAGGCTTCGCGCGGGGGCTCTCCTTTGACCTTTGCATCTGATTTCCTTGCTCTAAATTGTCCTGCCCGCCTCAGTAGCATGATTAATTTCTGCTAAAGACCTGAAATAACTTTTCCTTTATCTGCTCTGACAAGATCTCAGACCCAACAGTCAAAGGACTTTCAAAGGCTGATTTCAGGCTTGATGCACTCGACTCCTCCACCTGCTAGACCCGGTGTGGTTACAAGAGTACAACTATGAATATTACATTCTGTCAAGGAAACAAACCGTGCAAAGAAACGAAAAAGAAAAGAAGCGCTGGGGGTTGGGAAGAGGGAGGGGAGCGGGAGGAAGTGCCTTGTGGCCGCTACTGTGATTCTAGAAAAGGGGTTCAGACTATTTCGCTGACCTGGTTAATAATCCCTGCCGAGTTGACGCTCGCCCTGCAAGAAACGGCTCGGAACCCGCAGCCGGGTTTCTCTTCCCCCTGAGCCAGGTTCAAGGCTCCCGCCCCTCCCCTCCGGGCTACCTGGGAGCCGCGGGGAACCTGCGCAGCCCCGCCCAGCGCGGGCAGCCTAGTCCTCGGGGCGCGGAGCCTGGAGCGCGCCTCGGGTCAGCACCCCTTCCCAGCTCCCTCCTCCTATTGCTAGTTTCTGCTTTCAACAAAACAGGTGAGCTTGATTGCTTTCCTGTGAAGTCCAAAAAACGAAGGTGAAACCTCTCAAGGGGTGGCATCCTTGCCCCGCAAGGTCGACCCCCGTGAGAGGGGTAGGGGGCCGGGATTTACCTATATCGACCCCCTTTTCTTCCCACTCCAAGCTACGCACGCACAGGCGTAGCTCCAGGCCCCGGCCAGCCTCGGGGTTCTGCAGCAGGGCTCACGCCCACGCTCGTTGCAACTTCCAGAGCCACAGGAGGACCAATGCCCACCAGTACATAAAACAAATAAGTATGAGAAAATCAAACAACCCGAAGAAAAGCAGGCGGGTTTGCTTTGCCTTCACGGGATTTTTCCCAGAACGCCTTCGCGAAGGTCGGTCCGATCGCCTTTCCAGAGGCCGAGAGACTTAAGGCAGCTGCAGCAGGGCGCGGGCAGGAGCAGGGACCTCAGTCGCGTCCACGTGTGCGCACTGCCTCGGGATCTCTTGCCCAGGAGAAGAGCCCGCGGGGATTGCATCCCAGGTGCGCAGCAGCGGCCTTGGTGCTGAGGGCCTCTGTCCCTTTGGGCTGAGTGGCGACCACTATGGCCACTGAGCCAGCCCCCGCAACCTGTTCTCTCAGGCAGCCGGGGCGTGATGAGTCCGGAAAATCCCCGGGGCTGGTAGAGGCTGGACCGCCAGCAAGTGACAGTTCCTATGAGTATTTCCCTCCTCCTCTCCCTCATTCCATCTGTAGGGTCAAAATGTAAGGGCATTTCACCCATCATCCTGACCAGCCTTCCCAAGTGCGGTGACATGTGCAGCGCGAGCGCGTGTGGGTGCGCGTGCAATGTTTGCAGTAGAAATAAAAACCTTCCAGAGAATAACAATTCGAACCTTCAACCAGGGCTTATAACAATTTGCAAAGCCTTTTCGTCCCCTAAAACCTTCTTTCCAGCCGCCTGTCAGCTGACACTCTTCTATGCCTCCATAATGAATGAATGAAATTTAAATAAACTACCTGCAGCTACTAAACAATCCGGCATTTTCCTATATCTGCCATATGCTCTGCACTTTCAAATCCAAACATATCTCAATGCATCCAGCAGTTAGGCTGCGACTCTCTTGCCGACACCCAAGGCATCACGCCAGGCACCTGGTGGGCTCCCCTTGGCTGGTGGACACCGCTCTGCCCCCGGTTGGAACGTGCTTCTTTTTCCCCCCCAAAGGGAAACATATACCCGTGCAACTTGCAAAAAGAGCCGCGGGGCATGCTTCCCAATGTCCTGATGCATTTCCCGCAGAGACTCTTCCATTCATCAGTCTCTCCAGCCGCTTCTGCGGCCGAGGCAGGGGCTCCAGGTCCTCCCGGGTTCTGACAGCACCACAGAAGATCCGGGAACCAATTCCCACCTGCTCCTAGGCGCCTGGTGCCCCGCGCGTCCCTGCCCTGGGCCGCCCTCTTGGACTCCCCGTTACCTGTGCCGGGGTCTCCGGGCCATGGCGCGGCGGGCGCGGGGCTCCGCCGAGAGCCGCGGGGACGCACCGGCTACCGCCTCCCGCTGCCCGCCGCCTTGCCTGCGTCCCTCCCCGGCTGCGCAGCAGCGCTCCGCACTGCCGGGGCGAAGTTTCTCAGGAGAAAGAGGAGGAGGAGGAGGTCACGAAGGAGGAGGAGAAGGAGGAGGAGGAAACAGGTTGATATTAAAGTGTAAACTCTGTAAACAGAGATGCCATCAAACAAAGAGCTTTGGACACTCCCCCTCCCGCCAAATCTGGCGCCCCTGCAGTGCGCACGCGCCCTGCCCGCCGCCTCCGCGGTCGCCCTGGATGCAGCCGGCGGGCTGCTGGGCCGGAGGGGCCGCCGCTCCCAGCCGGTTCTCGCGCCGCCGAGCTGCGCCTGGCGCGCCGCAAGGTTCGGGAGGCGCGCGGGCCGAGAACCCGGGGAGGGGCGACCGGGGACTGCGGCGGCGCCTTTTCTTGGGCAAACCCCGCTCCCGGGCCACGGCGACGCTGGCCCGCGCCATGTCCCGCTGTGCTGCCTCCCCTTCTCCTGGGCAGCTGCACCACGGTAGCCCCACTGTGGGTGCTCCGGGACACGAGAACCCGAGCTCGCCGTGCTCTCAGTTGCGAGGGTGGAAAGGGGTGTGGGAGTACTCTTACATTGGGGATTGGATTTTTAGAC